CTGAGCGCCGCCGGGGGACACGGCGGCCGCGGCGAGCGCCAGAGCAAGGCGCGGTCGGGGGCGCAGGCGCATCACGCGGCGCACCAGCCACACCTGCCAGCTGCACTGCGAGCCCTGGCGGCTCTGGCGGACCCTCAGATGGACCAGGAAGCAGACGGCACCACACCACCTAAGACCCAGCGATGTTGAAAGTTTGCCTGCGACACCACCATACAGTCAACCCGTACCATAATGATGCGCTGTGAGGATGTAAGGACCTTGGAAGGCCATGCGAACGTTTCTCGAACGGGATTGGCCAGCGAAAACCGCCAAGGATGGGCCGAGCGGGCAAGGATGCAAGGGTAAGGTTGCCCATGCCTACTATGCGTGGGGCATACTTTGGGGAACGAACAAATTGCATAAACTTACTACTCGGAAGTCCGCGCGGATTTCTCGGATCCGTGCGGACCTCCGAGTTGTCATGTTTATGCCATGTTTCGTTCCCCTATTACTGCACCTACGACCCAACTACGACCCCGCGGGTCGTAGGTGGGGTGGCCGGCGAGGTTCCAGGAGGCCCGCGGGCAGCGGGAGGGGGGTGGTCTGAGGTCGGGCATGTCCCCCTACAGGCGGATTTTGCACGACAAATTCGATATATATATATATATACACACACATACATAAACAAAAAACTCAAACATGGTAAAACACATATTCTAACAATCGTCCCCATCCTATTATTCGACTTGTTTTGAATATTCCTCCTGTACGGAGGAGAGGCCCGACTTTGTACCTAAGGCCCACCCACGACCCCGCGGGTCGTGGGTGGGGTGGTGTCGTTTGGTCCCTGGCCGGCCAGACTCCAGGAGCCACGCGGGCGGCGGCGGAGGGGGGGGGGGGGACCACCGCTCCTCGCCTTCCCGGGGGGGGGACCCCCCCGGATGGGCCCTCGTAGGCACGGCCGCGGCCCGTCTCGGCATCCTGGTCAGCTCGCGCCCCAGAACGGGCCCAGTCGGCGCCCAACCCGAAGACCCGAATTTCGGGGTTTGGGAGGAATACGGGCATCATGTGCTTTTCAACGTTCCCCGACACGCCCCCCTTCTGGAAACAGAGGGCAAACCGGGGCCTTCGGGTTGGGTTGGTTTGGGAATGTCTGGGGGGTCAGGTCTGTAGGAGAGCCCGCAGGGGCGTCGGCAGGGCCGTCTTAGTCGCCCGTTGCCGTGGCTCTTGGTTCGCACATTTTCGCGTCAACGTGCTCTTGGTGCGCGAAATGTCTGGTCCAGATTTCCGCTGCACCGAGGGCCCGGCATGGCTTCCATCTAGAACTTCAAATTCTGAGGTCGCCCCCCAGGGTTTAATTGCAAATGGCAGCCTGACACGTCTGGGCAAAGGCCGACATCGATGTGTAAATTAGCTTAGAAGACACGCGAATAACAAAAACGCCGCATCTGATGGCGCGTGCACTCAAACGGGCCTGCGCTAACACACTGGCGAATCATTGGGCAACCAGCGCCCGTGGAGCACAGCCGCGTTTACGACCAGACACGGCAGCCTACAACAGGCCCGCGTTTCCGCGAAACGCTGTCGGGCGCCAGCGGTGCAAACCCCGCGGCCGTAGCGCGCTCACTGAAAAGACAGCCTGACGTCGATGTATCTGCGCAAAGCGGCCAAATGCTGCCGCGCGCGCGGCGGCGCAGAGGCAGCCCCCGTTGAATTTCTCCACGCGCGACGGCCCAACGCCTGCGTTTCCCGCGGGGGGCGGCCCGGCGCCTCCGCGCGCGCGGCGGCGCAGGGGCCGCCCCCGTCGCATTCTTACGCAAGCAGCCCAGCGCCGCCGCGCGCGCGGCAGCGCAAAGGTCGCCGCCGTCAAAGTTCTCCGCGAACGACGGCCAAGCGCCGCCGCGCGCACGGCGGCGCGGGAACGGCTCGCGTTGCGTTTTCTGCTCGCGACGGCCCCAGCCCGCCGCGCTCGCGGCGACGCAGAGGCCGCCTCCATTTCGCCTCTCCATGCGCAACGGCCAACGCCGCCGCGCGCACGGAAGCGCCGAAGCTGGTCTCGTCGCGTTTTTTCTCTGAGCACGGCGGCCCCGCGCCGCCGCGCGCGCGGCGGAGCAGGGGCCGCCCCCGCTGCGTTTCCTCGCGCACGCAGGCCCAACGCCGCCGCGCGCGCGCGGCGGCGCAATGGCCGCTCGCGATGCGCTTCTCCGCGCACGAGGGCCCAGCGTCGCCGCGCGCGCGGCGGCGCAGGGGCCGCCGGCGGCGCGTCTGTCGCGCGCGACGGCCCAGCGCCGCCGCGCGCGCGGCGGCGCAGAGATCCCCCCCCCCTCCGCTGCGCGTCACAACGCTCGACGGCCCAGAGACGCCACGCGAGCGACGGCGCAGAAGCTGGCCTCGTCGCAATTTGTCCCGCGACGGCCCAGCGCCGCGTTCCTCCGCGCACGACGGCACGGCGCCCCCTCGCGCGGCGTCGCAGAAACCGGGCTCGGCGCGCTTGTTCCACGCGCGACGGGCTGGCGCCGCCGCGCGAGCGGCGGCGCAGAGGCCGCTCCCGTTGCATGCCTCCACGCACGTCGACTCAGCGCTGCCGCGCGCGCGCGGCGGCGTGGAGGCGTTGGCCGAGCGGTTGCCTCGGCGTCAGCCGAACGGTTGTTGTGAACTTCGATTGCCAGGGCTTCCCCTGCCTTGGCGTCAGCCATGCGATTTGGGCGACGCGCGCTGCGCTACACTCTTGTCTCGCGCAGTGCGCGAGCGGTTTGATGCGAGGGCGCATTGTGTTTCGGCGCCAGCCGAACGATTTGCGTGAACTCCAACCACCAAAAGGTCCCAGTGCAAGGGTCTAGTAGGCTCTGGATCGCTCGAAGCGCAAGGGTCTGGGAGGCTCTGGGTCGACCGAGGCTTCGATCGCCTGGGCGATTCTGGATCGCCCAACACCGAACGGGCTGAAAAAACTCCGGGCCACGCGAAGCTCATTGGCCTGGGAAGCTCTGAATGAAACCGTTCGGGCACCCACCGCGAGCGCGGGTGAGCGCACCCATGCGCTGGCGGCGTGCGTGGGCGGAGGCGTCCAGGCACCCGCGGCGCGCGCCCGAGTTGACCCCCCCGAGTTGGCCGCCCGAAAATACCGACCAAAGGGGCCAGGCGAGTTGACCGGCCGAAGTGATCGGCCGAGTCGAACGGCCGAGTTGATCGGCCGAGCTGATCGGCCAAATTGATCGGCCGAGTTGATGGGCCGAGTTGATCGGCCGAGTTGATCGGCCGAGTTGATGGGCCGAGTTGATCGGCCGAATTGATCGGCTCAGCTGATCGGCCAAATTGTCGGCCGAGTTGACCGCGCGCGCGCGTTGACGAGTTGATCGGCCCAGTTGGTCGGCCAAGTTGATCGGCCGAGTTGATCGGCCAGCGCGCGCTTTGATGAGTTGATCGGCCAGATTGACCGCCCAACCGCGCGTTGACCGCCCCGCCGCGCGTTGACCAACCGAGTTGACCGCCCGGGTTGACCGCCCAGCCGCGCGTTGACCGCCCCGCAGCGCCGTGACCGACCGAGTTGACCGCCCAGGTTGACCGCCCAGCCGCGCGTTGACCGCCCGGCCGCGCGTTGGACGCCCGAATTGACCGCCCGAGCTGCCCGCCCAACCGCGCGCGGACCGACCTGGATCGGCCGCCCATAGGCCCGTTGAACGCCCCAGGTTGACCGCGCAACCGCCCCCTCGCACGGAGCCGCGAAGGAAAGTGGCGGGCGAGACTCGGCCACGACGCGCTGGGAGACACCAGCGGCCTCAGAGGCACGCCCGACGGAAGGCCGCTCGCGCTGCGCTTTCCGCGCGCGGAGGTGCCTGGCCGTCGCGCGCGCGCGGGAAATCCAACGCGAGCGCCCTTCCAGTCGTCGCGCGCGCGGCGGCGCAGAGGCCGCCTCAATCTCGCTCGCGCGCGCCAGGCGGCGCCGCGCCGCCGCGATAGTGGAGCGCGAAAATGCCGAGTGCTGTCTGGTAGGGTCTCCATTCGCTGACGGGGCTCGCCCGCCCCGCCGCGCGCTTTCCCGCGCGCCGCCCCTTCTCCCGAGGGTCCCCGGGCGACCGCGTTGACTCCCTGAGGCTGTCCAAATCTCCCAAGACGGCCCCGGGTGGCAATCGGCCGCCAAGATGGCCTCAGGTTCTTTCTTGGGCGGACAAAGATGGCTCCGAGACAAATCAACGCGGCGCCGCGGAGGCCAAGCACGAAACCAATATGGTTCAGAGAAGCCCGCAATACGTCCCAGGACGGCTCAGGAGGGCTCCAAAAGGACCCCGAAAGACCACAGGGACGACGCTCGCTGATTTTGATACGGCGCATCATTGATTTGGGTTCATAATCGCTCCCGGCTTCAATCAGCCCGAGACGGCCAACGAAGCCTCCAACGTTGCCCTGAGACGGCCCAAGACGCCACGACAATGAGCCGAGAAACCTCCAGAATGTGGCGCAGGACGGCCCCAAGAGAGCCCCAAGACAGCCTGCGAAGACAGCCGAAGGGATCCAAGACGGCCTGGGGGGGCCTCTCGACCCCCGACGGACCCAGGCGCCCCCGCGACGCCCCGACGAAGGCCGCAAGAGAGACCCAAGACGGCCCATGTGGTGCCTAGAGCAACCCGGGAAAGCCGCAAGGGGCCCGCAAGACGGCCCCACAGGAACCCAAGACTGCCCTGATACGGCCCAATTGAGCTCCATGAGGGCTCTTCAAGAAATTGATTGGGAGTGCGCGCGTGTGACGGCCTAATGCTTGCTTTCTTCGCACTATCATCGCCGTCCCCGTCGCCGCCATCGTCGTTATCATCGCTCGTGCAGTCGCCGCCCAAAGAACTGGACTGGCGCGGTGAAGAGACTTGCTTCTGGCAGCTGGGCGTAATGAGAAACGCACTCGGCGACGCGCACGCGGAGCTCTCTTCAGAAGACTCGCCCACTTCCCTTGGCTGTGCAACGCGAGTCCCCGCGCAAACAGCGCGTGACATCGAAGCCTCGCTGTGAAAATGTGCGCTCGTGCGTTCGCG